GCTCTGAATCAAACTTTCGTAAATCAGTTTTTTTTCCTTTTTGGTGGGTCAATTTATTAATTATAAACTAAACAATAAGCTTTCTTATTTGAGAAATATTTTCACTGTTGTGAACAAGTTCACTATCTTTTTTGTTCATTTTAGTAGCATAATGGGAAAATAAAGAAAATTGGAAATATTTGCTATGCAAATGGGCTAAAGATTGCGCTTCAATAGGAAACGACGTGTTTAGACTCTTGAATAATTTTGACGATAAAAGTTAGGTCTAATTTTATTGCCTAAAAAATTGTATCGAAGAGTTCCGTTTGGTTAAGTGGACATAAACAAGGTTACTTGATTTTAGTAACAATTTCAATTTATGATTCGATTTATTACCTTGACTTATTGTGGGAGCAAAGAGGAGGGGGGGGGGGGGCTTTGACACCTGTCTGCGCTTCTTTTAAGCACATTGAAATTAAAACTGGTTGTAAAATAGCTATTTTCGCTACATATTTTATTGCTTTCGGTGAGGAATTCACTGCGTTGCTCTAAATCAAATGTCATCTGAAGTTTTGTATATTTCTCACATACTGGCACCGCTGTGTTTTAGTGCCGAATTAAAGGCAATGTGTGAATCGGTTGCATTATCTACTAAAGCCTTTTAATGACCACAAAAGGGCCTGTGAAAAGACAACTAAGTTGTGGTGTTTTGAATAGTTTTCCCTCACTAGAGAAGATCAGAACATGCAGTTTTATCCGGTCTTTCTCAATTAAATTTGGCCAAAATGCCCTAAGCAAAATATTCCCTTGCTTTTGATTATCTTGGAACTCTACTGAGTGGATGGATTCCCTTAAAAGATAATTCCATTTCCATCCTGAACTGTGCTAACTCATTAACGGAAAGCTTCTCAATGACCGATTGAACTTCTCTCGTCTTTGTGAAATCTAGATACCGGTGGGCGATGGTAAGGACAATTTAATCACTAATTTTTAAAAAGTTCTAAATGCTCAGATCCTAGGAATAGAGAATGGGGAAATGTTAACTGGCTAATCAGTTGTCAGTGGAGATCACATAAGTGGGTGGAACTTCAGCAAATTGTATTCCAACTCATTTTGTCTTTCAGTGATAAACAGTGTGGCAGAAGACGTCCAACTAGAAGTGGACCATGTGGACGCTATTGTGAGTGAGTGGATGGGTCATGTTCTCCTCTTTGAAAATATGCTCCCCTCTGTCCTGCGTACTCGCGACCGCTTTCTGAATCCACCACCTTCAACTAACATTACTGACCTCTCGGCTTGGAGACGGGAGCGCCTCTTCCCTTGTCGTGCCACTCTCTACATTGCCGGCTTCTCTGATAGTCCTGAGGAGAATTATGACTCTGAGGAATCCGGAAACTCGATTGATGAAGACCAGTGGAAAAATATTTCGGAGTTATATGAGGTGAGTGATGAGTTTGCAAAATAAAAATTGGTGCGCCTCTGTGTTGCTTATTGTAATGATCATATACTTAGATTTAGCTACAAATTATTATTTTTAGCAGTCGTTGCTAAGTATATAAACACCGAGAAAGTAAATTATTCAAATAGAGCTATAAGAGAGTCAGAACAGCTTGTGTCTTACTTCTTTAGAATTCTGATTTCATTATTTTTCCAAGTTTTAATTTAATTTCTTATATTTTGACACTGACGTCACAATTTGTTTCTAAAAGCCAGCTCATTTCTGCTGTCAGCAAGTCAATCAAATCTCCATGGATTTGTCCTTTTTTTAAAGGATAGTTGTGCTTATTTGATTGGCTAAACCCATTCTAAATCAAGGAATCGCTTTTTTTTGTATTATACCTAATCCTATGACCAGGCAACTTTAATAAAAACTTTTATTTGGTATACAACATTCACAACTGTATCACTTCTTTCCAAATAGGTGAGGATATTACAAGGGTTGTGGGTACATGAGGGTATGATTTTCGACTTCGATTGAGCTTACAAATGAAATCTGCCTGGGCACTTGTTACCTCCGACCCTGTTCCAAACACGAGAGGGGGGTAATAAGAGAGAACAGTGATTCCGAGGCCTATTTGGGAAAGCGCCTTCGAACGCTTATCTTGAGTCAGTATTGATATCATTTTAGCCTCCCTGGTAAGATACTCGCCACCTACTCTCCTCTTGTATCAGTCAAACCTAATCGATGAAGTTGTCCATTCTCTTCACCGTGAATTACTGTGCAAATAGGGCAATGCAAATAGTCTAGATCCAGTTAATGTAGAATATCTCCTGAGGTACTGTCATGAGATTTCCCTGTTGAGAGTATTGTCCTACAAATTGCCATCTAGTATACATTTCCTGAGGAGAAATTGGAGAAATGAAAGGAGAACCTTCCTTTGCCTAAATCAGTGTAGTCTAGAATGGAATTGTCCCAGACCTTTGCGTGGACAACCAACCGTGGCGTTGACACTTTTTTAACCATTATTGTAGTTTGATAAGAGATTTTGACCATAATCGTCTAGATTTACAATGAATTTAAAGCCAGGGTTATTTTATATTGCTTCGAATTTTTACTTAATCTCGTAATAACTTCTCTCATTGGTTAATTTTTTTTCTGATGAACTCTTGAATTTGGGCTATTAGTTTTAATAAGTACAGGAGTGGTTGTATTGCGATTTCCTTTCAAAGTTTTGCTTTAGGAGGCTAATAATTTCTCTACTCTTGTAACGTTACAAGCAGCTTTCTATTTTTGACATGTTGGACATCAAAATGATTTAAAAATCTAACATCGACTCACATTTCTAATTGTGTGTGTGTGTGATCACTGAACCATCGATGTGGAGCTAATGCCTCAATCGCTCTTTTGATTTTTTTATTACATTTAATGCGGTGTTCAGTTTTTAAAGTTTACTTTGACATCATTTGTGCTGTTAATTGGTCGAAACAGAAGCGGGGCTATTGTCGTTTGAAACATGCTCACTACGTGTCTATAGCCATCGCCCGATACCACCAAAGCTCATCAAGTCGGCAGCATCAGTCTCCTGTGAGGCATGCGTGGGTGCGGTTGGGCGCAATCTTCAAAAAAATAAATATTTTGGGCGTCAAAGGGTTAAATAAAGACTTGCTTGTGCGGTCGCTAAAAATAATTTTATATTTTTAGCACCGCTGTCAGCAAAAAATGATTTTAGTTTGAAACGCTTTTTAAAATTAGGCATATTTGAAATGTGTTATGGGAAGGAGGGCTGATACTTGAGCACCTACCGCCCCTTTTGTAAACATGGATCGCTTAGCTTAGTATTCGGATCATCCTATGCCTCCTCATGGCCTTGCATGTGACTTGTGATATGCCCAATCGTTACACATGTAAATGGTCATGCGAATTTCATGAAGGACATTCGTAGCTCCAATTGGCGTTTGTAACGAAATTCGAAGCATTTCCACCTTTGTGCACTTCGATGAAGCTTCAGTTTCTTTCATCATTTTGGGTTATTTACGACCATGACCATTAAATTTCATGTTCTTGCGGTCAATTCTCTATTTGTGTGCAGTATTCCTATTTGAGCACTTTCTAAAAATTTAGGGGTATTTCGAGGATAGAATAGAGTTCGATACCAAAACGTTGGAATGAACGTATAACTGAATTTGTATAGCAGAATATCTAAATGAACTATATCATAAATATTTCTGTTATTTTTTTAAACGAAAATGAGAAATTGAAACCTAAATGACCAGTAGGAAATCGGTACAATCATGCACTGGAAGTCTATTAGAAGACGCATCTGGACATGGTGGAGAATAAAATCACTAATAAGTTAAATCTCCACATCAGCCATTACTTTTAATATATCTGCAATGTAGGCTCTCTTATTGGTTAGTAAGTCGATGAATTCGTTCACTAATCATATTACTTAAAGCTCTGGAGATGCTACGCAAAAAAGCGATATGTATGAGTACTTGTCTTAATTGAATTTAATCTCATCACACAAGGAGCAGTAAAATCAACTAACTGGGCAGTAACTTTCAAGTTGTGCTCAGGCTCAATTTCAGACACCGTAGTAGTAGGTCTGCCTCTTAGTTTCTGCTCACGTCCCTAGAGTATTCGAAATTGTGGTCATTTGTTCTCAAAGAATTGAGAATGCATTTTGAAAGAACACACATATTTACATATTTTCAGGTGAACTTGAGTGGGGCTTTTGCCTCCGCCGTCCGTAACGACAAAGAAAGGCAGATTCATGTTGACTTTATGGATCAAAAGTGCATTATCACAAGGTCTGCAGAGATTGCCACTCTCGATTTGGCCACGCTTTCTCCGGACGAACTGACTGAGCACGGAGTAAAAGTATGCGTTTTCTTTTTCCATTTGCGTTTGCTTATTTTGGTAAAGATGCATTAGTGATTCTACTTCCATTTAGGGATCTTTTTCCATGAAATCAATGGGTACGGCAACTTTGAGAGGGCTTGTGATTTGGTTTACAGTTGAGTTCCCCGATGGAGATGTACTCTCCACATCGCCATATAAAAAGTTAGCATCCCCTTGAATACACCTTACTTAATGGGAAATAGGTTGAGACATTCTACTTCCTCTCTTTTAGCCCAACGCATTGGCAACAGGCGCAACTTTATATATCCGAACCTCTGTCACTTGTGCAAGATGATGTTTTAAGTGGTGAAATTCACTTTACTCATCCAACTGGTGCACCTCGGTGGGTTCCCTTTCTGCCTTTTATTTGCTCAAGGCATTCTGCATTCAATTAATTTAATCTTTTTCCTTCGCTTTCAGGGATCTAGCAATTGACGTGGATTTTGTCATGAATAACGCAGAGGAAACTCGTGTAAAGCGTACTTACAGCCTTTCGAGTTGAACAAAGAACCCTATCAACAAGTTCCATCTAGTACTCCTTTTGTATTTTTATATGAGAGTCAGTCTATTTTATAACAAGGATTTTTAAATAATCCATCGGGCTCTTGCTTTGATTAGAAGACATGGGGTCTAGGTTTTTGGCCCTGGGATGAAGGATTCCCGCAGGTGGTCCAATAGATCGTTCGTGAGCCTTAACGATATGCGGGCACATGCCACTCCTGACAGCTTTGCTTCATCTGTCGATTGGCAATGCTCAAATTAATGAAGACTGTTGGAGTAATTATTTATAACAAATGGCAGGCGTTTTGATAGTTATCGTTAGCCCTTTAGTGGGCTTCACAGAGGAGAGGGGGGGGGAACATCTAAGTGAGAAGAATTCGGGAGGGGGGAATAGAAGAGTGGTTCACAGATGTAAAAGAAACGGGCAGACAGAAAGGGTAAGATGAGTACTGTGAAAGGGGTCGAATATGACATACAGTTGGGGTGATGGTAGTTTGAAGTGAGGAGTCAACTGCCGGTTAATAGACTTTTTGTCGTATGAGTATACGTTGCCCAGGGTGCACCACGTGGATGTATGTCTATCACGCACCCCTGGAGGAAAAAATGGGTCTCGTAAAAAATTTGGGGTTTAGAGAAAAGAAAGCATTAGTAAGAATTGAGCTCTGATAAACAAGTTACAATAAAGTACAATGAGGGAGTCGATTGCTTTTGTGTTCTTTGTAGTTGTGAGCAAACGATAAAAAATTCAACTTGAAAATGGGAAACCCGAGAGAGAGCTAGTACGAATAACAAGTCATGCTAGTTGCAAGTAACAATGTAAAAGGGACATGAGCAAACTTAAAACGTACAGAAAGAAGGAAACTACTATGGCGGCTACTAGCGTTCTTAGTCTATAGAAGCTTTCACCTGATTGCGTGCACGGTAGGTGTTACGCCACTGGGAGAGGGGAGAGTTAAATTCTTCTTCACCTTTTATTAGCGGGATGTACCAGTGTGATCGGTATTACCACTCAATTAGGTGTTCATGGATGGGCATGGGATCCATAATCTCAGGCAAACACGTTAACCACCGAGCAACTGAAGTATAAATGATTTCATCCTCATCTGATGCGGTGTATTACTTTGCAGTGACCGGGGTGCGCGATAGACTTACCTCCTCGTGGTACACCCTGGACAACGTATTTTCTTACGGCAAAAAAGTCTATCACTCGGCATTCGTTTTTGACTTCCATTAATTATGATTAGCTTTAAAAAGGCTATAAGAAAAATCGCCCTCGTCAGGGCGAACCACTACGTCTTCAGATCCTCCAGTGGAATGCTGGAGGAATGTCTTCGGACAAAAAGATCCAAATACAGAAAATCCTACAAACCTATGATGTAGACATTTTCACAATTATGGAAGCTAACATTTCGGATGACAAACTGAAGTATTACCAATTCCCAGGTTACACCCTGTACAATCTACCTAAATACCGGCAAGTTGCAAGT